TTCTAACGGCTTCTATTTCAGGAGGAGAGCTGTCAGGCCAAGAGGTCTCCATCCTCACCCCAGGGTGGGCCCAAGAAGAGGTCGGCGTTTGGGGACATCACGAATGTGAGTGCTTCTGTGGGGATAGGGGCTTTGGTGCCCCCTGAGCACCCCATGGGAGTGGGGCTGGGTATCCCCTCCAGCACGCAGGGTGGGGGGTGTCCCATGCCCTGGCAGCAGGAGGAGGAGTCTCCCTGCAAGGCAAAGCTCGCTTACCTCTGTGCACTCCTCTGTATACCCCATCCTGACTCAAACAGGCACACAAGAACCAGGTGGTGGCAGGGAAGAAGGAGGCTGTGAAAGTGGCACCACACAAAGCACAGAGAGCCCACACCTCCCTGGGGGTGGCCAAGAACAATGAGATCAACCTGAAAAAGTGAGTAGCCAGAGGGGATGGGAGCAGGGGCTGGAGGGCTGCTGCAGGGCCGGTACCTGCAAACCTGTCCCTTGGGGAAAAACAAGCAGTGGTGGGGGCTTTCTTTGGGGGATGGAAAACATGAGCCAGATGGGGACAACAGACAGTAGATAAAATGGCCTCAAGCTGTGCTAGGGGAGGTTTAGATTGGATATTAGGAAGAATCCCTTTACTGAAAGGGTTATGAAGCATTGTAACAGACTGCCCATCCCTGGAGGTATTTAAAAGACATGCAGATGTGGCGCTAAAGGAATGTAATTTAGTGGTGGATTTGACTGTGTTAGATTTACGGTTGGACTTCATGATCTTAAAGGTCTTTTCCAACCTTAGTCGTTCTAAGACTCTCTGTGGAGATATTTTAGGGCTGCTTTAGCCCCTTCTTGAAACAGCAGGGGGCTCTGGAGAACAACTTTCAGCCAGGAGATGTGACCTCCTCCCAGCGATGATTTATGTTCTTGTCCTGTCCAGGTCAATGAAGAAAGCTCCCCCAACAGAAGCTCCCACAGAACCTAAGGAGGATCCTGTGCCGGAGGAGCCAGTGCCTGCTCAGGTACCGAAGCCCTCCAA